TGTATATAATTGTATGTCTCACCTAGTTGTGGAGAGTAAGTACACTTATTCAAGTACTGTACTTGTGTATATTTGAGGTATCTGTATTTAAATATTAAAGCTGGTCATTTATATATTAACCATTTCCAACACTCCCCATACAGAAACTAAAACCAACAATGACTTGCCTCTACTCACGGTTAATGTCCATCAGTGTGTCAGTCCTGGACCAGATTTATCTGTGCCAGATCGTTGCTGTTGTTGTTCAAAAACAATTCAGTGAAACACACCGCTGCACTGGGTGACACATTTCTACACTGGCAAAACCCAGACCTAAGCATGAGGAGCTAACAAAATGTAAACAAGATCTCGTGCGGCTGCTTGGAGACTTTGGGGCAGCGTAGTCGGGTCTGGGGTTCAATTATGAAAAAAATGTGTCACCCAGTGCAGCGGTGTGTTTCACTGATGTGCCTTTAATCTTTGTTTAATAACAGTAGAGCTCTATCGCACAGACTAACAAGGTAAACAAGGCCTGACAGTTGACAGACATTAACTGAGTGGGGGCAGTTCATTGACGGTTTCAGTCTCTGTGTGGACATTGCTGAAAATCCTTTTATATATAGAAAATAACTGGCCTTATCAGGACTATTACTTCTAAGAGTTCTTTTTTTAAATATATATTGTGGTACTGCTACCACTGTTTTCCATCTAACTGTTTACAGCATTTATCCAACTACCTACCTATTTACCTAATCCACTGTATCAAGGCTACATGGTTATCCACTAGATAAGTCTCAGTCCGTTACCAAGTATCGATATTGGGCCTATATGATACTGTCAGCGCTGATCTGAGGATATTTCACAGGCTTGGCATCGGCCAGAATAGAGCTGATTCAACTGCGATCCTTATTTAGAACTACAGTCTTGTATTTGAGCAGACGCAGTTGCTTTTTTTTTGAGACGCGTATAATGCATGTGTCTACGCTGCCTGCATGTTAGCTGGTATATCACATGCACATAGTAAAGAATTCTAATCACTCCTGCTTTAGGTACGTAGCCATGACCTGAAGCCTATTTTTAACTGCAAGTCTATTTTTGGGAGCTATCCGCATAAAACACTCCAGAGAATCCATCAAAAAAATGAAAGCTTACTAGTTCCAACCAGAACTCAGGGATATCTAAATTGGACCGGTTACACAAACTGTGTGCTCACAGATACAAAGTAGTAGGTAGTTTCGCCCCTGTAATGAATCTGTAGTTCTGAGAGTGTTGTCCAGCTCTGTTATTCATATCAATAATTGAAGCTTATAAACTTAATATTTTAGAACCAGAATCTGGATCAAGAAGCTCCTGAAATAGTGTGCCAGATTAATTTCAGTTTCAATATGTCAGGTATTTTATTAACACTTACTGTAGGTAAGTGGTATCGGATCAGAATCTTTATCTGCATACTTAATATTAAAGGAACTGGATCAGTATCAGTCCCAAAAAAACTGGATCAGGGTATCCCTACTCTCCACTGTACATTTTGTATCTATTTATCTGCTCGTTTATCCATCTATTTACTGTTGCTCATGTAAGCGCATTTCAACTACCTACCCACCTCTATACTGTGGGTACATACAGTATGAACACACTTGTAATGATGTACTCTACCTGGCAGTGGCTTTGGTGGGGGAAGTTTGGGGTTGCTGCTGGGGGTGTGGACACTGCAGATCTTGATGAAGCCAGCCATTAGCATAATAAGAGCAATGCCCATCAACAGCACGGCCCACCAGTAAGCCTGAAAAACAGAGGATGTATTAAATAATGATGACATTTTGACAAGAAGCTCTGCAGAAATAGCTTCTGCATGTGTGTTATTGTGTTGACCAATCTTCAGGGCTGATTCCACTAGAATGAGTTGCTGCTTTTCTTGTACAGTGGCACTCACCACTATCCACTCTGCAATATTCTCATAGAGTTCTGCATTGAAGATGGCTTTCTTTAGCCTTGCCAGCGGCCCATCGGCATCCACCAGACGGCACCTCATGAACACATCGCAGTAGCCCTTAAAGTCATTGCAGGGTGAACCAGGCTGCAGCGTCGTGATCTTCCTGTTAAAGAATTCGGCCCATCTTTCTGAGCCTGTGCTGCTGCAGGTGCTCGGGTCCACTGAGGCCAGAATGAGTGATAGGGAATGTGTGAGATACCAACAGTAACTCAATTCTTTAGCCTGACAATGGCACAACTAAGAACAAAAAGTAACTGTCACTGATGTTATACACCACATTAAATCTAGCTTAATATTACTACTGTGTATATGCATTCTGATTCATGTGCAACATGTTACTCACTTTTTTCCATGCAGCACAAGTGACACAGCTCAGCTGGCTCATCCTTGCCCTCTTGGCTGGCACAGGTACATACCTCAAGATGATACTTCTCACAAATGGAGCCAGAGCAGACCTGGTTCAAACAAGCAGGTTGAAGAAAAAAAACTTATCAAAGCCTTTTTACTTTAAATACAAACACAAACTGCACAAACCAGACACACAACAACAAAAGTAGAACTAAAACAAACATACCCCATTGACACAGACTTGTGTTTCTGCATGGCAAGTTGTGAAATTTTCCTTTGGTTCGGAGGTAGGACATAGAGCAGTAGCCCCATTGCATTTACCCTCTTTGGCACACTCAGACTCATACCTGCACCTCTTGTTTGTATCCATGAATGTACACTCTGATGTGCAACATGGGCCTTGACTGGGACTGTGAAAAAGAATAACAAATATGCCGACGTCAAACTAATGTAATGCCATCAATTGCAATTTTTTGTTCTCAATAATTCTTTCAAAATTACAAGACTATAAAAAGAAATGCTTATCACATCTGACCTGCATTTTTTGCCAGGCTGGAGTTTGCACCTTTTGCCTTCTTCTTCATTGGCACTATAGCAGCAAGACTCTTTACACTGATCACTGTAGCCGCAATCACACTGTTCTCCACTTTCCACAAGTCCATTACCACAAATAGGCTGGCCAGATTCTGTACACACAGAAACCGCAATGTGAAGACAGAATCTCTCTCACACACATACAGACAAGAAAGGATGTGTTTATTATAAAGAATTTACCGACAAAACAAGAGTCTCTCTTATTTGCCAGAACAGCACTTATATTGCGGATGCTGCAGATAGAGAACTTGTTATTGTTGAGCTTGTCCCCTGAAGTCGCTCTGGCATACATGATGTAGTTTCCCCGCTCCTTTTTTTCCTGCATAGTAGACTCTCCTGGGGTGCATTCGATGCCAGAATCATGCTGTAAAACAGTAGGCAAATAAAGGAGAGAAGGCAGAGATACTTGAGATGGAGCTGCATATGACACTTTGCTTAGCTTGGCAAGAGCATGACTGACAAAGGCCAGTGTTTGAATTCATAGTACTTACAGGAGAGCCAAAGTTGTGCCCGACCTCATGAGCGAAGGTAATGTGTGACACCTTAGGAGGGACATGGGAAGCATAGTTCTGCACAGTGATGATACCTGTGTTCAGAGACTTCCTTTTCCCATCAGAGTACAGTTTACTCTTCTCACAGATGCCCCCAGAGCTTCCTGTGGCAGGGCAACAAAAAAATAGAAGAATGAATACTACATAAATACTGGACATGATTTCACAGAGAATGTTATTCTTATTTTAACACCATTGCAGATTGAAGTTGAACAATGAAACAGGTTCAGTCACCTACATTCAGAAGTATGTTTGTGTCAAGAGTTATGTGAACCTTTGAATCCTGCAGCCAGGTACCCTACCAGGTTAAACACAAACATGAGTAGGACACGCAGCAGAGAGTGGCCCGCTGGTGCTGACAGCTGCTCCTGAGCAGAGCAACAGCTTGGCCACAGCATGGGTTACTGCTCCACAGTTCACAGAAAACAATGATCATCTACTTCTGTACTTGAGAAAAAAAAAAGCAGCGAACCTTAAACTACAGAAACTTTAACAGATGGAGCAAGTTATTCCTGCATACCAGTTTTGGCCAAGTCTCTGTGGTGTCTGTTTTACCATGAAACTGAAAACATACTAGGGCAGCATGGTGGCACAGTGGTTAGCGCCGTTGCCTCACAGCGCAAAGGTTCCAGGTTCGGGCCCCACCTAGGACCTTTCTGTGTGGAGTTTGCATGTTCTCCCCGTGCTTGCGTGGCTTCCTCCCACAGTCCAAAGACATGCAGCTTAGGTTGATTGGTGTCTCTAAATTGCCCATAGGAGTGCATGTGCGTGTGTGTGGTTGTTTGTCTATGTGTTAGCCCTGCGATGGCTTGGCGACCTGTCCAGGGTGTACCCCGCCTTCGCCCGATTGCCGGCCGGGATTGGCTCCCGCCCCACCCGGGGCCCCCCCCCATCCTAACAAGGGTCACGGGGGGGCTGGAGCCAATCCCAGCTGACATTGCGTGAGAGGTGGGGTACACCCTGGACAGGTTGCCATTCTGTCACAGGGCTAACACATAGAGAGAGACAACCACACGCATTCCTACGGGCAATTTAGAGTCACCAGTCAACCTAAGCTATGGACTGTGTGAGGAAGCCGGAGCACTCAGAGAGAATCCACGCAGGCGCAGGGAGAACATGCAAACTCCACACAGAAAGGCACTGGGTTGGCTGGGGCTTAAACTCAGAACCTTGTTGCTGTGAGGCATCAGCGATAATCACTGCGCCACCATGCCGTCTGATATAGAACACTTTATAAATATCACTACCATCACTATCCCCCACCAATAAAAAAAAAAAAAAAGAATGGTAAATTGATTTCTTTTTGATTTGATTTGATTTATTCTTTCAAACATGTAATGACAGTCAATATGTCAACACATAATTTCACACATATCCACAAATGCATTATCAATTAGCTTATACCTAGTACATGCTTGAACGGAGTAGGAAGAAGTCAGACTTATCTAGTCCTACCCCATAACATCATCTTACCATCATTGGTTTGCAAGCAGTAT